TTCCTGGATCGCACTGGATGAGGAAATTGCTTTTTCAGAGACAAATTCCCAACAGAAGCAGCAGTGGAGGACACGCGGGTTTTCATCATCACGAAAATGCAAACCCTGATTTCCATCTCATGCGTATTTGGTGGTCGGTAACATTTCTGGAGAGATTTCATGCTTGAAATTCCGTTCGAATTCCTTCGTTGGTGTCAGACACGAAGCCCATAATCCTTGTCCACAAATTGATATAAATCCGAGAACGGAATCGCAAAATTTTCAGTAGAAATTGTGTGCTTTCCGAATCAGAACGTTCCCGATATTGTGCAGTATTTACAAAGGGGACAAAGAGAACGTCACCTTTGGTAGAATGGTAGTCCTTGTTACATATGAGTGATATGACTAGAATTACGTTTAATTTGTGAACCTTTCATATTTCTGCGTATGATACCGTGTGCCAGCTTATTTTTCTATTACTCTAGAATGAAAACACGAGGGCATTTGTTTAAGTGAGAATACCCATGCTGTTTATCGCAGCATTAGATCATGTACAAATTGCTAATACAGTACAGGATTTAAACTAGTAAATCATTTTAAAATACCAATACTGTTCGATGACGGTCAGTTTTCCCTGTAGAGCTCAGTTGCACTATCAGAGAAAAATGACAAATCGCTTGAATATGGAGTAATACTTCAGGCTTATTGAAAACATTTGTCAAAATTATCCAAAGACTCTTTATTATTACAGGACGGCGAGGAGAACTAGAAATATTCCTGTAGCATTCAAATCCGGATGTCCCCTCATAATTAATTATATGCGCCCTCCATAAAAAGAACATTCTCAGTAACATAACCCTTCCAATTTCCATCGTCAGTTATTTTCATAATGATTCACAAACGAAAGGCGAAAAACAATCATTGTAATATAAAACGTCCATTTGCTCCCGACTTTTGTCCCTAATAAATGTAGTCGTTGACAAAGTCTCCTAAAAGACGAGTTCGGGTGATGTAGATGATGTTTTCGGATCAATTGAGCTAACATTTCTTCTGAGCAAAACATTTTTTCTTGTGATGGGCATTCTGAAATTTCGAAGGTAGAAAACTTGCCCCGTTTCAGCCAGTATTCATGTGAGATCTTCAAAATAACGTTCTCGGCAAAATTCCAAATTTGCATATTAATATACAGTAAATTTTTTAGACCGAATATTTTAAAAATCAGATCAATTTTAACGTTTGAAAACTTGCCCTGGCTCAGTCCATATTCTCGTGAAATCAACAAAATTAATCCCTCAGGCAAAATTCGAATTTTTTTAAAGAGAGAAACTGTGCTGTTCATCGCAACCGAAGATCATATAAAAATCTGTCCAGAAATCATATTCTATAAAATCTGATGTTGGGTGACGATCAGTTTTCCCTCTGGTGCTCAGCAGATGGACAGTCAGGAAAAGATAATGCCTCTTGGATTTCGAGTAATATTTCAGGCTTCTTGAAAACGGTTTTCAAAATATATATTTTCTCCGCCGAACATTCTTCAAAACCAGAAAAGTATTTTCAAGTTTAAAAACGTTCCCCTTTCCTGTCAATATATTCTTCGTAGACCATAGTAAATAATCCCTCAGCGAAATTCTAAGTATGCACATTTCTATTTTTTCTCAGCGGAATATTCTTCAAAATATTTCATCAGAAAAAAAAACAAAATCACGAAAAAAAGTATTCGTCAAGAATGTGCCTCATCCGCCGTCTTATTCTCGGGACACAGTTGTCTTCCCAGCCAGGCCAAAATGATCGCCTGCACAATCATTGCAAAATTGGCGTACAAACAACACCGGATGAGAAACATGGGGTCCTCGTCGATCCGCGTCGAAATCAGCGGCGCCAAGCTCAAGGGCGCCAACCCAATCGTCAGGAAAATGAACGGCCCCACAGTGGCGTCGATGTTGACGAAGCTGCCGATATACACGAGCCCCGCGGGCGTCAAATTCGACAACCCGATCCCCAGGGAACAACACGCGACCCAAAACGCCAATAAGAACCGTGTAGAACAATAAGCTTACAAAATTTGTGAACCACCCACGTATATTTTCTAAGGTCTTGCACACATTCGCAATCGAAGTCATACAAAGGCTGCGAATCTTGACGCGTAGTGTAAGCAGGTATTCGCTTTTTCCCGAACATTTCATTTGCATCCGAATACAAACACCCGAAGCAACTGCAAAAGAAAATCTAATCTTCTTCGACTCCTTGCGTGGGTGTGTATTTTTTTTAGAATTCCCGTGAGAGTGTTTTCATTCTCTCAAATAACTGAGTGCGGAATTGAACCCATGCAGGAACACGTCATCTTGTCATCTCATTCACCAGATGCATTTTGTCATTTTTCTGCAGACCATGCACACGCAAAACAATGCCACGAAGGCGGAATACTTTTATCAAGACAATTTTCAGCAAAACAATCGATCCTTATTCCTGAAATCCCTCCCTTTCTAGTGCCGCTTGAAATATTTCACAAACTCCAGAAAATCAAAGAAAACATATTTCTATTTTCGGTGAAAAATTTGTACAGTACAGTATATTTTTAATGCGGGATGTTTTCTTATTTTTTATATTGACGATGGGGTATATCTGAAAACAGTGCGTTGAATAAGAATATGCGTTCCAAGTATCATTTGCGTTTAATATTGTAGGAACATTGAAATCAATTATTTTTTTTCGTGCCGAAATCTTCGGCGGTTTTTTGGCACGTTCAATTGTAAAGGATTGGCCATATTCTGGGACAAACAGTTTTAGCATCCACTCAACTTTCAAATCGCAATTTTTTTTTATTCTTGAGAAAGATTTCTGGACGGAATATTTCTCAGGTGACAAAAAATATTGAGGGAAATTCAATTTATTCGAGATTTGAATCTTCAATTTTACAGGCTTAGTTGTAGTTCTGGCCACCATATTATGCTGATTTTAGTACTGTAATGCTTTGTCTCCACATGATCAATTTTCATTTATATATCTCTTCTTATTTATATATTTTGGCAGTGCGGCTTTTACGAGAATATCTGTAGTATAGACCGCTATCGAATGTAAATGCATATGATTGTACTGATTAGAATCTATTACTGATGCGTCATGTTCGATTCTCGAATATATCTTGATTAAAATCGAAGCCCAGAATGATGGGAAACGTGTGGAAATAAATTAGATCGAAGTTAATTTCCGCTTCTAATATACAGTAGACACCTCTAAGAGCGGATTGAAGTCCCGGGATTATTGTAAAATCCCGGATTTTCGGGCTGCAGCGAGAAAAAAAAGGGTCCTGTAATACCCAAAGGAGTCTGTTCGTATTTTCCTGGGTCGCACTGGATGAGGAAATTGCTTTTTCAGAGACAAATTCCCAACAGAAGCAGCAGTGGAGGACACGCGGGTTTTCATCATCACGAAAATGCAAACCCTGATTTCCATCTCATGCGTATTTGGTGGTCGGTAACATTTCTGGAGAGATTTCATGCTGGAAATTCCGTTCGAATTCCTTCGTTGGTGTCAGACACGAAGCCCATAATTCTTGTCCACAAATTGATATCAATCCAATCCCGGAATCGCAAAATTTTCAGTAGAAATTGTGTGCTTTCCGAATCAGAACGTTCCCGATATTGTGCAGTATTTACAAAGGGGACAAAAAGAACGTCACCTTTGGTAGAATGGTAGACCTTGTTACATATGACTAGAATTACGTTTAATTTGTGAACCTTTCATATTTCTGCGTATGATACCGTGTGCCAGCTTATTTTTTTACTACTCTGGAATGAAAACACGAGGGCATTTATTAAAGTGAGAATACCCATGCTGTTTATCGCAGCATTAGATCATGTACAAATTGCTAATACAGTACAGGATTTAAACTAGTAAATCATTTTAAAATACCAATACTGTTCGATGACGGTCAGTTTTCCCTGTAGAGCTCAGTTGCACTATCAGAGAAAAATGACAAATCGCTTGAATATGGAGTAATACTTCAGGCTTATTGAAAACATTTGTCAAAATTATCCAAAGACTCTTTATTATTACAGGACGGCGAGGAGAACTAGAAATATTCCTGTAGCATTCAAATCCGGATGTCCCCTCATAATTAATTATATGCGCCCTCCATAAAAAGAACATGCTCAGTAACATAACCCTTCCAATTTCCATCGTCAGTTATTTTCATAATGATTCACAAACGAAAGGCGAAAAACAATCTTTGTAAGATAAAACGTCCATTCGCTCCCGACTTTTGTCCCTAATAAATGTAGTCGTTGACGACGTCTCCTAAAAGACGAGTTCAGGTGATGTAGATGATGTTTTCGGATCAATTGCGGTAACATTTCTTCTAAGCAAAACATTTATTGTTGTGATGGGCACTCTGAAATTTCGAAGTTTGAAAACTTGCCCCGTTTCAGCCGGTATTCATGTGAGATCTTCAAAATAACGTTCTCGGCAAAATTCCAAATTTGCATATTAATATACAGTAAATTTTTTAGACCGAATATTTTAAAAATCAGATCAATTTTAACGTTTGAAAACTTGCCCTGGCTCAGTCCATATTCTCGTGAAATCAACAAAATTAATCCCTCGGCAAAATTCGAATTTTTTTTAAAGAGAGAAGCTGTGCTGTTCATCGCAACCGAAGATCATATTAAAGTCTGTCCAGAAATCATATTCTATAAAATCTGATGTTGGGTGGCGGTCAGTTTTCCCTCTGGTGCTCGACGGACTGTCAGAGAAAGATAATGTCACTTGGATTTCGAGTAATATTTCAGGCTTCTTGAATACGGTTTTCAAAATATATAATTTTTCAGCCGAACATTGTTTCAAAACCAAAAAAGTATATTCAAGTTTAAAAAAGTTCTCCTTTCCTGTCAATATATTCTTCGTTGGCCATAGTTGAATAATCCCTCGGCGAAATTCTAAGTATGCACATTTCTATTTTTTCTCAGCGGAATATTCTTCAAAATATTTCATCAACAAAAAAAAATCACGAAAATAAGTATTCGTCAAGAATGTGCCTCATCAGCCGTCTTATTCTCGGGACACAGTTGTCTTCCCAGCCAGGCCAAAATGATCGCCTGCACAATCATTGCAAAATTGGCGTACAAACAACACCGGATGAGAAACATTGGGTCCTCGTCGATCCGCGTCGAAATCAGCGGGGCCAAGCTCAACGGCGCCAACCCGATCGTCAGGAAAATGAACGGCCCCACAGTGGCGTCGATGTTGACGAAGCTGCCGATATACACGAGCCCCGCGGGCGTCAAATTCGACAACCCGATCCCCAGGGAACAACACGCGACCCAAAACGCCACCCCGTCCGCCGCCGGCCCAAAGTAGGGCAAGCAGACCAACGTGAGCAACGACGTCGTGCTCACGGCCAGGTTCCAGAGGATGACCCAGAGCGACCTGACATTCCCGGCCACGATCGCGGTGATGAGTCGGAACAGGGAGTAGAAGGTGAGGAAGCACATGTCCAGGTAGCGGGCTTCGTCGACCGTGAACTCCAGCCAGGAATTCTCGGCAAAGGTCACGATGAACCCCGACATGGCCACATACAGGGCCACGGAGGTGTGGAGGAAGATCCCGCCCATCAGGGTCAGGGCGTGTTTCAGCAAGCGTCGTTTGCGCTTCGACGGCTGTCGCAGGTCCTCTATGGACGGTGGACGCTGGAGAGTAACTGCATGCTCCGTGTCCATCAAACTCGGACTGCCGACGAAGCTGCTGATGGGGAAATTGAGAAAATTTCTGGCTGCAAAAACCTTTCTGTGGTGAAGCTGGTGTTGTGTACCAAAAGCAACTAACGCAGCTCCAGCATCCGGCCAAAACTGGCCCAGAAAACTTGCTGGTACTTTCCTGTTATCTCTGTACCTCAATCCTAGACCGCACTACCATCCAGACAAATCTTTAGGAGGAGTTCATAATCACCACAACCTAACAGAAACTGTGAATTTTATTTTTCCGCATTCTGCTGAAACTGATTTTGGGAGGTGGTTAAGTAAAGTTAGGTTAGGTCAGGTTATGTTAGTTAAAATATATTTAACCTTAAAATATAATTAAAATATATTTAAAATATATAGTTAAAATATATTTTACATAACCTGACCTAACCTAACTTTACCTACTGCCTCCCAAAATCAGTTTCAGCAGAAACCCAAAGAAAGCAGAAACTGATTTTCAAGGCGAGTGAGCCTTGCAAAAATACCATTTTTGCAAGACTCGCTGCTGAGCCTCACTCAAGGACAAGAAGTGGTTATCACTTTTTTAAATTTTCCTGAAATCGGACAATCCTGAGCCAGGAAGAAATCACCCAATTTCTTCTTGACCCAGTCCAAGCACCTGGGTATAAACACCTTTGTTCCTCTTTGAGAGGAGAAGTCAGAAACCTAGTGTTAATGGGTCTTTTTACTTTGATTATCTCATTCAATATTCTGAGCTAACCAACCAATCTTACAATTGACTCTGCCATTACAACCAATCAATTAATAGCCAATTGATGAACTGGGCAACAAGAATGAACTCCTCTGAAAAGAGTTTGAGTTCTTATTCAAAACTTGCATTCTGATGGCTGCACAATTCAATTCCTTTGCCTGCGGGATCCAATGGACCCATGACAGCTGGGATATTTTTTGCAAAATTGTGTGCCCCTGAGGACTGAAACAAAAATGTTTTGAGCCAATAGGCCTGAGTTGGAAAAAAGTCCAGTATTTTTTTCCTGCAAAAATGTTGGCAGAAAATGACGATGAAAAATTGAATAGTTGATGGGGAGCCGAATTGTTTAAGGCGGCATCGAAGTGTGAAAAGCGGGACAATCGTGGGCGTACGTATTATTATTTAGGGCTCTGTGGATGAAAAGCTACCCAAAAATAACATTTGCTGCTTTTGGCGGACAAGCGTGAGTATAGTTTTACTGGCACATGCAGGCAGAAGTTCAGCGCTGAAACTTTTTCCGATTTTTCACATTTTTTCTTCCGAAAATTTTCCACTCTCTGTAAGGAAATCCTCCGTGTGAAAGGACACGCGCGTTGCTTCTGAACTTCGACTTCAAGTGTGGCAAACTTATCGAGGAATTCCGGATAACATTTTTCCTTTTAGTTCTTCGAGGAATATTCCGAATTTTTCCATTAATTCGATAGAAAATTCGCAAGATCTAGCTTCAAAGTTTCACGGAAACATTTTCGAAGTACACAGTTGCATGTGCAAAATTTACTTATTTATTGGTGCAGTAGGTTATTAATAAAAATAAATAAATACATTGATGATGGATGGAATCTCATCAACGTCTGACTTTAGCAGGAAACAGCTTAAGCAGGATTTTCCAAGAACGAATATATTTCACTAAAGTTTTCACATTTCTTGAAGTGATAGCATAGCATTAATCACAAAATTAAGCCAAAGGAGCATTGCAAAATAGCTCATAGACACCTTTACGCGCGCCAGAAGAAAGAAAAAAAAAGAATACTGTAATACTTTCAGAATTGTGGCCACAGTAATGTGAATGATTCATCTTTGCCAAGTGTTCCTCTTCATCTGCTATTGGGGACTTGTTCTGTCCTGTGTCCTTAAGACGACACAGACAAAGAGTAAGATGGAAATGAGAAATAACTTTAAAATGCAATAGGGCATTTTTGGCCAAGCATTAAGCCTCAAGGTTGGGCTCTTTTGCACAGAAGAACACAAAAACAGATGCACAACAATTTGGCAAGTAAATTTAGCACTTTATGCACAGCACAAGAGTTTGTAACAGAGTGTCAATCTTTGGTGGCTTGCAGAATTTAGGTAACTGGTTCTTCAACCAGTTCCTGAGTCTGCTTTTTCCAATGCTGTTTGGTTATCGCAGATTTTTTTTCGTGTCAAATGTCATGATTTCCCTGAAGAATTGCAACGTGTGCAAGTGTTTTAGTGGCAACATCATCTCAACTTGCAATACCTGCGGCAGCCATCAAAAGATTCTAAAATTGTAATTACAGGTATGTAATTAAATTCTCACTGCGCTTCTGCGCTTCCCGAAAAGACCACAGAAACTTGACTTTGATAGTAAAGTTTCTACAACAAGATTTTCCCATTAAAACAAGCTCCCAGACTTTCCGCTGAATCCCACTATAACCACTAAAAACCATGTCAAAATTGAACAATAATGAAAATTCTGAAGTGATTGTCTCATTAATTCCTTAGCTGAGAAGGCGTTCACTTGTGCTGAATTATTCAAAAACTTCATTTTATGCCTAATTCATTGGTTTGGCGTGTGAATGGTTCAAATTGAATTGATTTGCATTCTTAAAATTGAGACAAAATAAAAAAGTTTCTTTGCGAACTTTCTTACAAGAAAGTACCCAGCCTATCCAAGAATGCTTCACGTGCACCTTTATTCTGAACAACACCACTTCTTTGTTGAACTCGGAGGAAGAGCTCTCAACATCTCCTAACATGACCAAGATCGTTTAATAACCAAATGTTTTCTCTCTAACAAAATGCAAAAATAAAATTCAAAATTCAAGTCCACGTTGAAAAGAAGAGAAAGTAAAGTATCGTATTGCAAACTTTTGTGCACCCCCTCCCGATTATTTTTGGCACAGCATTCCGACAACAGCCACCAGGCATACTCATTCTTTCGGCACATATTGAATCAAATCACAAAGAAAGAAGCTCGAAAGCTTTAATAAAATTTTCGAGGAGAATAGACCCGGTGCCTTTCATCGCAGGCTCTTTTTTCCTCGTACACGTATAACGAATAAAAAGGAATCCTTGAAGCGTAACATACTTTATTTTTTTTTATTGTAGACGTACTGTTACCCCGGATAATGGACTCCTTGCAAATTTGACTTTTTCTTTCCTATTGGACTTGGCTTTGCCTGATTTTGCTTTGGATAATACCCTGATTCAGATTATAGACAGCATGGAAAATGTTATTATCCTTCCAGAGAAAAAGTTGCAGTGACACTTTCACATGTTAGCAGCATCAGTTTTCAAGTAGTGTAGTGCGTTATTATTTTCACTTTGTTCCTATATAGATACTGTACTATAAAAAGTTTCCTGCTATTTATTGCTTTTATGGGCCATTCTATGCAATTTAATTGTACTACGAATTTAACATGGAGATTTCTTAAAAATCTGAAGGGTATATTGTACATTCCGTTTTGCTAAATTTGCTCGGGGTTGGATATTTTTCGGGTACTGGGACGGACAATCCAATCTAAAAATTTAAGTTGATTGACGTTTCGAATAGTGGACTCTCCGGTAAAGAAAACTGAGTCCAGCAACTGAGGAAATAAAGTGAGGCCCCGAGATGCGGACGAAATTGGAGCTTGTATCTTGTGCCACGGTCAGAAGGTCTGGATGCCGAATCACATTTCAAATTAGACTTCAATGAGAAAATACAGTACAGGTACTGTATTTAATTAGTTCTCCTGTTGATCAAAACTCGGGAAAAAGTCCCTCAAAAATCCAATACAATAAATTTTCTCAGCATCTTCAAGATACAGAAAATAACAGTGCAGAAGAAAACCTCACCTAATCTGATCTTTTGGCATGAAAAGGAGCGCAAAACGCAAAGGACAAGCACAAGTTCTATATACAATACTTTGCTCAAATGAAAGGAAAACCTGTAAAAAAATGAGCAAAATAACGCTTGCTTTATTGGATTAATTTATGAAAATAAATTTTTAATATGAATAATTATAAATTAATTATAATAATAATGATTATAATAATGCACTTGAATAAATTTATAAAAAAATTTATTTGTGCATTTTTTATTACGTAAATAGCTGAATTTGTTCGAGGTATCACAATTTTGAAAAATTATAAATTTTAGATTTTTCTAGAAATGTTGGCAGCGTCCGTATCCCCTTAGACATTGGCCAAATGTCGTGGCAGATTTGTTATTAGTTCCATGTGTTCCTCACTTGAATCGTTCGTATATGCGTCCGCACGTCGGGGCCCTATACTGCATATTACATACATTTCTCTCACAGTAGTTTTTTTTTTACCTTTCGGTATCCTTATTCCTTCCGAGAAGCAGCTCCTTGAAACCGGCTTGATTCCTCACAGCAAACATCACTCCGTACTCGCAAGCTATGAATAGCGCGAAAACTCCGACCAGGGCATACACGTATCCCACGTTTGTCGTCTGCGGAGGCACTGCTGCTCTTTCATCTGTTTCGAATTTCAATTGTAAATTTTTAATAATGTTGTGGGAGAAGGACGCGCCAAGAAGAAAGGCAGATGATGCTCCTCATCATGATGACATTGGTCAAATATTCTATCGAGCTTCCGAAAGCAGCTGCGAATTCTTTCGGGGAGACATCTTCTCTGGATATCTTGAAAATATTGGCATCGTATCAAGCGAATTTCTGCGCTTATGCGTGATGAAACATTTTTGAAGCATACAAATTAAGACTGGGGAATATTCAAAATGTTGGAAAACATTTTAATTAGACGTACAACTCGCTGAGAATAAGTTTACAGCTGACATGTTATGCAGTCGAGATCTATACAAACTGCAAATGCAATGAAAATACGGATAGTTGATCTAAACGAAGTTTCTGGCTTTGAATCACCATTTTATTTCATTGCTAAACGAATAGATTTTATTCACCGAGTTCCATGCTACTGTCGGGTCATCATCGTTCTTGCAATATCGATATTCAAGGCTTTTAAATTATTTTTCAACGTTTTTTTTTCTTTCGTGATGCAATTTTCGTTTGACTCATGTAATGTCTGGGCAGATACCATCATTATTTATTTACCGAAAAGTTGCCTCACGAACTCGGAGCCTTTTTGTTTTTTACATATATTTTTGTGGTTTGGCCGTAGTGATGAAAAATGCGCCTTTTTCTCTCAATATTTCCAAGAATCATGTGAATTTCATTATACTAGAGGAATAATCAAGTTGTAGTACGGTATTTTAAGACGGTAAAAGTAAAAGTAGCATTGTTCAGTTGTAAGTCTGCTGAGTGCTAATTGTGATTCGAAAGTAATACGATTTATCTTGATTTTGAGACCTTTCGGGAATCAAGTTCTTTGGCCACCTCCAATTAAATGTTGTGTGCCAAATTTAGGTAAGCCTGACATTTTCGCAAGAAATGAGAGTATATATTTTTCAGTTGACAACCTTCTCACTGTGCTTTCAAAGCAGGGCCATTTTTCTAAGCTTGAAAACGTATTGGCAATAATTTCTCGGTCAACCTTGAATCTCACTTTTTGCCGACGTTTCTCCTCGGAAAATTCCAAATTTTTTTGCAAAAAAAATGATTGCTTTGTTCTTCTTGGTTACTTGCAGATTGTTTTCGTATCAATTCAATCTCTCTTCCTGATGAGCGTGAACAAAAAAGTTTCGAAAAATTATCTGTCTGGTGATCATTGAAAGAAAAGAGATATGTATGACGAATTTTTTTTTCGCTTCGAAATATGCGCTTTCAAGTTTATGTTTTGCTGCCTATGACATTTAATTCCTGGAATGTGGTGGCTCAAAATCAGATTTTGACCAATATATGGTATGCAGAGGCGAGCAACAAAACCTGCAGTTTGAAACCCATAGGAGCATCATCAGGACAGCAGATTCAAAGCAAAGTAACAGCAGCAGGAAGGAATATTCTGAACAGAAAGCACACAGAGATGAAAGAAAGAGGAAAGAGTATAACATGAAGAAGGAAAAATTAAGAAGTGAACAGCAGCACTTGAATGGGAATTAAATTATTTTCTATTGCTTTCAGACAAGTGCTGGGGATGCTTTTGCTGGGACATTCCCCCAAACGTTGGCCAATGCATGCCAGAATGGGTTCCCAACGCATGCCAACATTCATTGGCCAATGTTCGGGGGAATGCCTGATCTCAGACATTGGACAGTGACCAAACGGCCATTAGCCCAACATTTGGGCCCCAATGCCATGCAAATGGCTTTGCAACGCAGGTTGCAATGGCCAAATTATTTGCTGGGTAGGTTTTTTTTTTGTTTTACGTGTTCTGCCTCTTTATTTTTAATAGAAATACGCCGGAGTGAAGCAGATACGAATGAACTCACTAGCGTGAGACACGTCCTTGCTTTTGGTGCCATTGCCGACGACCATCCTGTCGTCCCATTGGGAAACTTTGCTGACGACAGCCGACATGGCGAACCTGGTCGTCGCTGTCGACGCCCGGGTTGTCGCCGTCGTCACCGTCGCATTCTGAGCAGGACCGTCTTGAACATCGCCGACACCTCGCTGACGAGGCTGGTCGGGCTGTTGATGATCATGCGCGCGGGAAACGAAGAATTTCGAGAGCAGCGGCGTCATCAGGGAGCCGAATCCGTCGCCGAAGTAGGCAATTTGCATCGCAAAGTGGCTCTTTTCCATCCAAATGTCGAACACCAGCGTGTTCACCCCTGCGAGGAAATGAGGGCCCCGGGGGCGACGGGTGCGGAGTCAATACAAGTGAGCGTCGAGCCCACCGACATAATGTATATATAATAACTGAGCGCCACACCAACTGAGCGTCAGCTGAAAAAGCTTGCGTGCTGTTCAATTTTTTTGATTGACCATATTTGGTAACGCAACTTTACACGCGAGAAAAAAATCATTACCAATATATGACCCATTTTCTCATTCATCTATTATTTTCAGGGGCGTAGGCTCTAGGTGTATTCTATTGTTGGAATTTAGCTTTATTTGTTAAAACTGTCTCTTTCTTTTTAGTAAGAGCATGTCATGTATCAATGTATAAATGGGTTCATCCTTATGACACTCGAAAGAATCAGAAAATGTGCGAGCATTTCCTGAAGATGAATTTCCGAAAAAAAGGTCGAAATTGTTTTTCTAGTGTCTCTTGCATTTTAGTACAGTACGTATACTTGAATTGTTGCATTACGAAATTATGTGTACATTTTGGTCAGCAAATATCTACGGTATTCCGTTTTAGGTATAATGAACAACATTATAATCACGTCCAGAAAATTACAGAACATCATGAAAAGATCTTAAGCATATGTGCATATCTGGAAGTGATTAGTATTTAATCGTGAATTTGAATTTCATTTGTTGACACGTGAAGCAATTGCGAAAATTTTTGGTCCCCAAAATATTTTCCATTTCCAAATTGGACAGGCTAGAGATGGTAAAATTCTTTTCTATTTTAAAAATTCTAAAGTTTGAACTTTGAATGTTCCAGAATTTTTGATTTTTGGAAGGAAATTCCACTGAGATTCGTTACATTCATAAATTTAGTTTAACCGATTTTCATGTGGTGAGTCCCGTTACTCTTTAAAAGGTTGCTATTTGACTGGAATAACGCTACAGTATATTTTTTGGCCAGTCTTGAAGAGCAAAATCATCACACGTAAAAATGAGTTTGAAGCTTAGAATTGATGTTTCAATATTTCATATTCAAGCTCATGAAATTCACAACATCAGCTTATAGTTTTTGAAATGATTCGATTTTGCAGAGCTACATTGAAATCTTGCATCCATACATTGTATACTGTTCTATAACTGTACTGCTATCTGAGCATATGCTCAGTCGGGCAGCGCTCAGTTGAGTGGCGCTCATTTGAACAGTCGTGAAGGCAACGGGTCGGTCTGATGAGTGAGCAGAACGTGCTGAAATCTCTTGAGGAACAGTCGTTACAATACTGTCACCCGTTTCCGTTTTCGTGAAGGAAATTCCATCATGAAAACTGGGACAAATACTTATCTCTCTTATGCCCTAAAATTTTCTCGAGAAACTCCAGAATGGACACGGAAATTTCCTTCAGGACTTCCAGCTTAGAAATTCAATAATATTTCTGAACCAGCTTGGAAAATTTTAATGAGTCTACATCAGTGAATTCATGGATTCATTTCAACGTAAACTCCGTTACTCGAAAAAAGAGCTTTAACAATAATTACAGTGAAGATCTACAGGCCGAAAGAATTAACGCGAAATCAAGGACTTTTCAAAAAGTTCCTCAAATTCTTATCAAACAATATAGAATGTCTAATCCATTCTATTCATTGTCTACATCCCCCTCGAATGTAAATCATACATTTTTGAATTAATTATTCAGCGATCAGGTTATAACAGCGACAAAAATTCGAAATACAAGTACTGTACTGTTTAGGACCAGAAATAAGAGGCTGTTCTGTTCTACATAAAAATTGACCTGTGATGTGGTACCTTTTTCCCACTGCTCATTCTCTTTTCTTTTAAAAAATGTGGAAACAAAATTGCAGTAAATTAATCGAGGAAGGATCCAATCCCTCGGAGACTTATTCTAGTCTTCATTCATTCAAGATTAAAGGTTCTCCGGTATGGTTTTGTGAACTGTTTTACGCTCAAGTTACCTTTGGCGCATTTTAATTATTCAAGCTGGCTTTAAGTACTGTATCATCAAACAAAACAGTTTCTCAACTTCGATTCTTGAATTTTCGGTGTATATATTATATGTATATTTCCAAAAACATTAAAACATGAAACCTCGTAATATATTCAAGACCGAGAAAACAGTTTAAAAAGGAGTTCGGTATTGAAACCCAACATTTCTGCTGCCAGAACACCTTTTTAAACTAGTAATCGAAGTTATTCTGTAAAATATACAAGAAATTATTCAGTTTGGAAATTTTTAAAAATTTTCCACACATATTAAAAAATTCATGCTTCGTTGAATTCGTCACATACTGACGACGATCACTTTAAAAATATTAATTATATAAAATGTCAGGCTTCATTGTTTTCTGTTTCCTGCGGAGTTGCCTGAAAGACGCCTGAAATTCATGACCAAATTTGTAATTGGCTTGACTTCTGCAATAATCTGACACTAGCTGAAATTTGAACCATATCTAAAACTTTAATCGTTAAATAAAGCATTGTTATTCTGGACCTGCTCTTTCGATTTGCTCCTACACGTGGCTCCTTCACTACATTTATAGAAAAAATGGGAACAGGTCAGCACTGCATAAGCTTGAGAAAAAAAAAGGTTTTTACATCACCCGCGAAAAATGTTTGCGCAATAATGCCAGCATCGAGTCATCGTCTCACTCAGGCTCGCAGGAAGTTTAAATCTTACTCATGCTCGAGTTATGCGCAAAAGTACGGGAAACCAAGTCGCGGTTTTATGAATGCCTACCGCTACACTGATGATATGCAAATGAAACTGTGGCGGAGATCAGAAATCGCTTACCAACATCCATCACCCCGATGAAGAGCCCGTAGATGGAGAAGCCGATGGATGTGAGGAGCAAGTCTCGCCAAAATGCGATGGAGATCAGCGAGGCTCCCAGCCCGATGGACGCGACGAACATGCAAATCAACTTTGGCAAAACTCTGTAGGATATCAAACCTACGAACGGAACGTGGAATAAAACCACACGGAATCCATCGAAAAATGTCATATTGATGCATATCACGCACGTTGAATCGACTGATCGAACATCAAATGAAAGCAAATATAATCCACAAAAAAAAACAGCTTAGGCAAGAGTCATAATATTATTTGATCAAAATCATGTTAATTTTAAAAAATTCAGCAATGCAGCAGTTAGAATTCTGATAAGATTAAAAATGGAAGAACTCTTTCAACCTCTAAAATTTTCACGCAATGCTATTCATTGAATTTTCTTGTTCTTTTCACGCGAAAGAGTCGAAAATTCAACGATGATCGCTTCTCATCCAGCCCAAGTTTTTTATTAAAGAACTACAGCATTTTAAACCTCAATTATTTCAAGGGAAATACACAAAATGCTATTCTTGTTTATGCTTACATCAGGTTCAAAGAAATTGGTCGAACTGGAATGTGAAAAAACCACACTTCTACTATTGGAATAACGGGATCAAGGCATGCAGCTTGTAGGTGAGGCAACAACAATAAATTCGACACACGAGCGTCGATAAAATAAAATCTCTGAACATCGATCAAACTTCTTCTAAATTTCAATCAACTTACTAATTAATGTGCCAACTACGTAGCCGATAGAATTGGCGACGAACAGCACATAAAGATCCTTTGTTTGACGTCCCAGGAGATATCCTAGGTCCGTCAATGTAGGGCCAACAATGGACAAAGAACCTCCCTGTGCAAAAACAAGGAAACACGAGAGAAAATATAATACATTAGCAGGATTTTATTGTTCAAAAATTGAATGGATTGTCAACCTTCGCGGTCGATCTAAATTCTCTACTCAGTGCTGCATTTTGATAAGATCCTGAATCGATTATGAGTAAATGTAGCTCCTTTTGAAACTCACAAGCATAAACAGTAATTTAAAATCATTAATTACAATGATTAATGAAATATCGACCCAGAAATATAATTCAAGAAAATAACTGTGTCGCACGTGATCTTGCATTGATTTAAGGATTGATGCTTGGAATTATGGTATTCGTGATTTACAAATGGAAAAACCGAGGCGATATCTTTGAAAATTAGTGGTCGTTGAAAAAAACCAATCAGCAGAATGCAATGAGTAACCTTTCCATTTCTTCTTATGGTGTCTTTTTGTAAACTGTGAATGAACAGAAGGACACAAAAACGCAGTTTGAGATGAATAGGTCGTATACAAATATTACAGCTGGTATTTGGCATAGCTAATTTTTTTTAAAGACCAAGCACCCAAATGTTAATCTTAAGGTATGAATATATGAAATTTAAAAAGTGTGAAAGAAGGCAAATGTAGTAAAAAAAAAAAAGTCTCCAGGATTTCATGCTATGATCAGAACATTTTCTGTGCTTAGAGTAAACAGAACAACCAAAAATCCCCAGACTTGGGCTATTTTACTCAATCTATTGGTTTTTTCGTTACTAAATCCTCGGGGAATACATTTGGCAAAAATGTCCCGACTCTATGGTGCCCAAAGGTCAAATCTCATCTTCAATAATGCAGTACAATATTTAGCATAATCAAGTCACAAAAATTCATCGGGACCAGAAATCCCATCGCCATACAAAAAAAACAGTACTGTATAATGTGAATCGAACATTATTTTGGCTACATCGCAAGGACCTTGAGAATATTGAAAAAAATTAAATTCGAAACGAAATATAATTGCATAATAAATACCTCGAAATGAGCACCTCCAAAAAACCCAAAAATTATCCTTTACCGTCTTTCTATGGCGCCTCAAATACTCACGAGAGCCACGAACGTGGTGAAAACCACGAACAACAGGATGAGTGACTCAGTTTGCAGAATTTTCACCCGCTTGCCAGATACGTCAGTGACATCGACGGGTGCTCTGGTCGCGATGGCGTCGACCCTGGTGACAGCACTCGACGCTGACGGTGACGTCTTGGGTGCGTGCACGAGTTCCCGACCGACCCAGTCGTCCAGACACGACGCGGAGTCCTTCCGGCTCAGGCTGACAGGGGTCATCATCTTGCTGATGTCCTCCGACACCACCACCAGCGCCATCTTGATGCTTGCCTAACGTTATATCCCTGTAGTCCTAAAGGTCTCGAATCTATCCGAATATCATGGGTGGGACGAAGATTGGGAAATAAAGGCTGGGATGCTGGCGACGAGGAAAACCCTGTAAAAGTCCCATGTGATGAAAAGTGAATGGAGACAAGGAGTTCGAAATTTCCATAATCAATCGGTGTAATAAGTCATCATGAAAGAAAATTTTCTCTTTACGGAGTCCAATGCGGGCGTGTTTCTGTATGAGTGATTCCAAGGTCTGTATATCAAGCTTGGTGGCGTTTCTTTGATTTTATAAATGATCAATGTCGTTCTGATAGGACCCTCGGGAAACTCCGCGTTCGATCTTTTAGGCTCAGATTGACATCTGTGTAAATAAACCTTTACACCTTGACAAAGCTTATATCTAAAATAATAGATGTCACTCCTAGACTCAACGCTTGTTCGAACTAAGATAATGGTCCTCATTCTGCAGGAGCTGGTCACAGGAAATATTTTTACTGTATGTAGGTTTGAAATACTTGCTTAATTCTATGTTTAATCGAAAAGAATTCCACCAAGATATCCTTGAAAATTATTTTTAAAAATCCATCCGAATCTGTTTTTATAAGCGATAATAGAATCCAATTACTGTAGATGAAACGTTTCGACAAGTCTTCAGCGATTATAGCGAGCAAAGTTGCAAGTGCAACTAAAAGTTCTCATTTTCTCCACGAAAATTTTGTATTATATGATAAATCTGGCAAATCAATAGATGGAATGCCTCAATGCTTCAAGAAGGAACTGATATCAGAAAATATTTGAAATCACGACTAGGAAATAAGCTGTGTTCTCTTTTTCTGTCCGAATTACTGTAATTAATGCATTCTGAAACGTAGTGATTGAAAATCAAAATTTCAGTAATTAAATACGAAGACGGAATTGCACCTGCTTGTTTCGCAGCTGTTCTCTCTTGCTATTCAAAGTGTTCAAGAAAAAATTTCAATTATAGGTTCACATTTTTCCAGTGGCTTATTCCCTCATGGAGGCATCTGACCTTCGACGAAAAACCAACGGGATTTCCTAGAAACTTCGAAACAAAATCACAACTATATTTCCATCGACAATAAGTACGTCACTGAATAATTTGATCATCAATTCTTTCAACAAGCCTCGTTATCAAGCACAATAAGCAACAGTTTGACTTTCAGCAACTGACCATCTATGCTTTGACTTATTTGGGTTAGCGGACGTATGCAATCAATGCCTCGAACTGAACAACATTCAAGAAATGCTCGGATGATTCATGCTTCTCCGCCTGATTTCTGCTTGTAGTTCTTGAGATGTGACAGAACCCAGAATGGCGTGAAAAGAATTCCGCTCATCAAAACTACGCCATGGGCAATTTTCTCCTGCGGAAAGAAGAGCAAATTCCAGGAATCATTGATTATGACGAAAGAAAACCTCAATGCTTCAAGAAGGAACTGATATCAGAAAATATTTGAAATCACGACTAGGAAATAAGCTGTGTTCTCTTTTTCTGTCCGAATTACTGTAATTAATGCATTCTGAAACGTAGTGATTGAAAATAAAAATTTTAATTATTAAAATACGAAGAGGGAATTGCACCTACTTGTTTCGTTCAAGAAGAAGTGTTCGAGAAGAAATTTCAATTATATGTTCACATTTTTCCAGTGGCTTCCCCCGTGGAGAAATCTGACCTTCGACGAAAAACCAACGGGATTTCCTAGAAACTTCGAAACAAAATCACAACTATATTTCCATCGACAATAAGTACGTCACTGAATAATTTGATCATCAATTCTTTCAACAAGCCTCTTTATCAAGCACAATAAGCAACAGTTTGACTTTCAGCAACTGACCATCTATGCTTTGACTTATTTGGGTTAGCGGACGTATACAATCAATGCCTCGAACTGAACAACATTCAAGAAATGCTCGGATGATTCATGCTTCTCCGCCTGATTTCTGCTTGTATAAGAACTCTACACTGTCTTGGGTCTTACCGCACTTTTCTTAAGGCGAGTAGTTTTGATGCGGTACCCGTTAAAAGAGGACGCCTTTCTTCTCGTTTAAGGTCCTTAGTAACTAATACTGCTTTCTTTCAACAGTTGCAAGGAGAATACTTCTTCTTTATTTATGTCATGTCACTTCGAGTGACTTTTGTACTGCTACCCGTTGAACCAAGTAAACTTTTTATCAGTAAGTTGAGTGGCCGTTCCCTTGTGCTAAAGAGCCAGAAGGTCGATACTCTGATGGGGAGTAGAATCTTTTCAAAGTTTGGCTGTTGCCACCATCAAGTACAACTCTTTTCACAACCGCGGAATTCATCTTGATCTCGATTCGAAACTTGTCTTTCTGAAAAGAAAATTAAATCGATACAGTAGCTTCAAGATAAAACGTAGAAGAACACGGGTCGATGAAATTCTCCGCTGCTATTATAATAAAGAGGTCTAAACAGTAGTACATAACTGTAAAATACTTACAATTGGAGATTCTGGACATTTTCATGCGACAGAATGGATAAAAAAACATGCATTGATGGTAATTAAAAAAAAAGGTAACTCAAACATATTTTGAAAGACATAAAAGCACAAGATTTAATTTTGTTGCATTGTAGAAAGTTTCATAAATAAAGAACGCATCGACATCCACACAGCATCAAGTGATGGATAGGTTCCAATGGTTTTGGATAAATGTTCACAGAGGATCACTCAATTTTCGATATTTTGTACAGTTCCGAAATTAGTCGCGTACCTCGGACTTCTTCCAATAATGCTGCATTTATAGTTAATTCATCGTCATTATATCATTAAAAACTTAAAAATAAATTTTTATAGCATCTATGGTGATGACCCATTTACGTACACTGTAAGCGTTTTAATTTTGCCACAAGGTCTACTGATGTGTAGTTTATATTCACTTGGAAATTTTCAATAGCTACATTGCGAAGAATCCATCGAAATGTCACCAAGATTTCAATAATATTTTCAGCACTTGTTCAGGAGATCAAAAATTTACACTTATTGATCGATGTGGTTTTCTGGAAAATTTAATCAATAAATGACTTTTTAGTTAATTTTTTTGTATTGCAGGTATACGGTAAAATATTTCACTGAATTTTACATTTTCTTGAACAGAACATTTGATCAGATTCTAACGATATTTTCTTTGACGATAATTGCACCGATAAAAAACACTTCTAGTTTCCTTCTTGTTTCCAAGGTAACCCTTCATATTTCAGGCACACATTTTGAGTTTAAATTTCGTCAAACTTCCCCTTATATTACAGAGCGATGTTCCGATTAATCAGATACGAAATATTATCATAACGTCGCATCATATTTCACGCTTAATCATGATGATATTGCATTTCTTGATCATTTTCGATTGGAGTCGGGGAAATAGATCCGAAGTGCATCATCAGCAGGTGAAGTTTTTCCCCTTTTTACTCAAGATAACCCTTCCTACTTAATTGAGGAAAACTCATAAACTTCGATTCTGCAAGAATTCACAGCGAAAATGTGCTTATTGTGATTACTGTAGCACGAAACACTTCCGGTTCCACTCGTACAAGCCTCAGCGAAATTTACGTGACTTCCGGCACATCCTCGACATCTTCTTCTGGCTTCCAGCACCGCGACTTTCCACTTCATCTCTACAATGTTCATTATGTAAAAATTCATTACATTTTCAAAGGTGTCGAAATGGTGAAGTTTCTGCAGTATAAATACATTGGTTGATGCACCCCAGAGAACCTTCTCTTCTTAAGCCCTGCATTCCACATCTACAGAAATAATCAGCTTAAAAAGATGGTGGACAATCAAAATTCAATGAAAAGATCCTTTCTAAAATCCTAGAGGCCCAAGACAAACGGTCAACCTCGTTTGATTTCTCATCAAAGATTATCTCCAAATTATTTATGCAGCTAAACCTTATCTGGGAACACGCTGGAGACCTTGTGCTTTAAATTGGGTTCAATAATTGCATTGCAATTCTTATTACTGATATTTTCATTTTGTTATTGGGGAAGGAAGTGGGTGTATGCTTTCACACCAGTTGAGCGGATGTACATTGTGGGATGGATTTTATTTTCTTTTGGTATCCACATACAACTCAATTCTTTGTTTTCCATTTTGAATAAGTGATTGAATGCCTTTGGATGGATTTGGGTTGGAAAACCTCCGCCCCAAAAACCACACCCTTACAACACACTTGGACCACTTTCATCTTTTCGTCTTTTATTTCGAAGTACAAGTTTAGTTAAGTTAGAAGTTGTAAAGAAAAGGTACGTTACGGTAACGTTACAGGTTTGTCCACCAGCAAATCTTCACACATTCTTCAGTTGAATGAATGAACAAAACACTTTATTTGCCCCTTTTCAGCATTCACAAGGTTCAATCAAGATTTCCACAACTAAACCCCCTTCCCATCCAACCCAAATCCACTCAATGACATTTAATCACTTCATAGCAGGAAACAGAGCACAAATTGATAACAAAAATTTAAAAATTCATTCCATGAAATACAACTGGACATCTGACATGTATGCATACACCCGTTCATTCCCTGATATTGGAAACAAAATATATGTAAAAATTAATTCTTCAGCTTAAAAACGGTTTGAAAAATGTGACCACAGAACACACAAAACAAATCCCTTCCTGAGTAACACTGTCTTATCTTCCATTCACCAGCACTCGTAACACTGAGGCTCAAGAAGATGAGGAGCAGCGCAGCCGAGACTGACTCAACCACCGTAAAATCGAATATCGACCCCTCGAAACTAACCGGGTGCCACTCGAAAGTGTCTCACACCACATCAACCCCCGCAGCAGATCCCTTGAATATCCGTCAACGTTTACCCCTGCTGAATATGATAAGGAGGACGGTAAATGCTTTCCCCCCGAAATGGAAACGCAGGAGTCCGGAGCCAATGCACTGCACGTACTTCACAACTGTGCGATGTTCCATGGTTCAGTTTATAGGGGGAAGGAAAAGCGCAGGCCCAAAATGTTGCCCACGTGTTTCGGTTACGACCCCCTATTGCACAAAAAAAAAAAAAGTCATCTGATAGCCGCTGTGCGAGGGTGGAAGGAAAGGAAAGATACGACAACAGCATTTATGGAGGAAAGGGAGAAAACGAAAAGAAAAGTAAATAAGGCGGGAGACTGATACTGCAGCATATGTAGGGGCATTCAGAAAATCAAAACACTTTTTTTTCAAATATAGGGCTTATCAAATACTATACC